CAGTACATCTTCGAAACAGCGAGACTCAACGGATACAAGAAGACCACAATCCAGGCAATCATTGATAAAAAAGCGAGAATTCTACAATGGAGATTATTTAAAGCCCACACCGCAGCACCTGAACCCTTGAAACGAGTGTCCGTTCCATTTGATCAAGATATTGCTTGTAAGCTAAGAACACAGTTAAAACAATACGGATTAGATTTAGTTTTCACCGGTAGAAATAACCAATTAAAATCATTGTTAGGATCCACTAAAGACCCAGTTAATGTTTTTGGAAAACCAGGTGTATATAAAATAAGCTGTAATCATTGTAACAAAGTATACGTAGGACAAACATAGAGAACTTTAGCAACTAGATTTAAAGAACATATAGCGGAGATTAATAAGGCCAAAAAGCAAGAGGAAAAAGGCCTAACATATGACTTCAAATCAAAGGTTGCAGAACACATCTTCACAGAGGACCACCAACTATCGACGGAGGACATCACGATTTTACGAACCGTATCTACACCATGGAAACTGGATGTTGCAGATCAACAAACAACGGAATTCAACTTTACTCAACAGGGATCAAGGAAACGGACACACATGGCTTTTCAAGTTACTACCTAGGTAAACCTCAACGAGTAAGCAGCGGAGTAAATTTAAGTTTACCTAGCTTCTGAGTGAAAGTGTACTTGGGTTAAAATATATTCGGTAAAATGCGATGTTTTCTTCAGTCGAGTATAAGTACAAGATACTGAAGAAGTCAGCACATTGTAGACGAAATACGCGTATCTGTCAAGGATAAGCAAATAAGGTAGTGCAATACAATGGAAATAACTAATCCTTCTCTTTCTGTTTATACAGGTATTCCACTAAGCCTAAGGCTGAAAGCCTCCTAAATAAAGCTAAATAATAATAGTATTCCACTAAGACACCCACATTCATCAAGATGCATCGTGACGATCATTTCGATACATTTGCATCCCTTTTAACCTTATGGTCACGTTTAAGGATCGTGTAAGTTATAACAGCGATATGCACGTTATGAACTCTCAAAAAGTTCAAATAGCTCGTTTTCATTATTTTAAATAGATCGAGCACTCCAATTCAAAATATTTACTGATTTAAAATCCATTACTGAATTTCAAACTCATGACAATATTGTTCACAAATTTTGCTACAGTTTGAATAGCAACAAACATGGAGTTAGTTTTTAGCATTACCATTTCCATTAGAATTATGATGGCTAGAATTTTGATTTCGATCATAATTACATTCTTAGCACGCTCTAACAGTCCATTCAAATAAAGTTTTAGTTTGGAATGTGCTCGCATTTATCATGGTGGCGCCACTGAAGAATTATGCAACCCACCACAGTTCAGCCTAATCAGTGATGTCACTTCTTTTTCAGGTCGATTTCGTAGATGTAAAATCTCAAAAATTATGGGCCCACTCAAGGCATTCCACTGGAGACACATACGACATCAAGAGCAAATTTTTATTACGTCGAAAGTAACAAAGGTAAACAAAGTCGAGCTATCAGTGTTAATCGATGCTCCTGCTATTACACTATATACTGTCCGATTATAGGATCACATCCCATTTTTAAATTTATCTACCAGTCAAATTGCTTTTTGACGTAATCACCTTCCGATCAAAATATTTGTTACTTAAGTCACTCGATTTCTATGGAGATGCCGTTTATCTTAAGTAACAGCGCAGAGAAACCCGTGAAAAGTGTACGTTCGTCGTTTCGCTTTCTCATTATTAAAGTAAATAAATCGAACTGTTTGTTGCTAAGATGATTTCCTTAATCCTTGTTACGTTTAATGCTTTGCTGATAGTGAAAAGACTCAGGTTGCTCCACCGAGGAGGATGATCTGTGATTCATATTCTTCTATTCGTGGTTCTCTGGTTTGAAGTGGTTAAAACTAGGGTTCCGATGCATGGTCAATATCAGTGTCATTGCTTGATTGGAATCCGATTTTGACTGACAAAGGGACGTGCCTTTGAAGGGTGCTATCACTCTTCGAAGGGTATTATCCGTACAATGGAAAACCGAAATAACCCACTAGCGAGTAGCGACAATCGAGTACAGTGGAGCAATAATTTTAAATCTCGCTTCACTCTAGCCTACATCTAAGGTTCCTTATAACAACTCTTCAAAACTTGCCACATGTAGAATTAATCTTATTTGGTTTTATAAGACTCCTGAGGACCTGTCATATCCAATCTTTGAAACGTCAACGTGTTACTCGAAAATATGATTTTCCTGTCACAGATGAGAACTTCATAAACGAAGATCGAAGTAGGCCACGCTGCTAGATGGACTTATTTTTGTTTTACTGTGTTATTTTTTCGTGACTAATTATATTCAAATTTGCATTAATTAACAATGTGAAGCGGAATTGTAAGTGGATTGCGAGACGGTGACCAAATGGAGCGCCACTCCTTTCAGTTGCTGGCAAATAGTTGAGTTCCGAAAGCCAGCAGTTTGTTCCAGCCGGCGCTGTCGCACAGCGAATTTATATTAAAAAAATAATCATCAAATTAACTGTTGATCATTAAATACGTGTAAATCGAGAATGGTACTCCTGCTTGAATGGAAGTGTCAATACATTATCAGTGGTTTATTAGTATCAATAATGTATTGAAGCGGCTTACCGTGTGTGAAACTAGCTTCGGAATGTTCGCGTTTTTGAAATGGGCTATTGGATCTGCGGTAGAGCTGTTACTTTCTAACTGCCGGATTTGAGCTTCTTGCAGTCGTAACACATGATTGCAGGCAGATTGTATTCATAATGCCACTGCCAAACAGTGGGAGTTGGATTGTAGAATACATACATAATATCTTTGACAGACATGATTGAAGTATCGTTGTATTCCTTTAAACCAGTATCGTAATCGACGTACTGGATTGTTCGAGTAAAATGGTACTACAATCATGTCTGTCGAAGGAATATCATATAGATGATTGCTTAATAAACCGTAATGCATGAATTTGTCAAGCGGAGTACTCTACTATACAATTTTATACCGAATTTGTGTTTGATTCAGTTCCAACCTGGATCAGGAAACCAGATTTGACCTGCTTGTTTTCTGACAAATGTCAGATTGATCGTTTCGCACTGGGTTGGGATTGGTTCCAAGCCGGATTGAAAACAAATCAACTATTAGCATATTTCAGCTGAAACAGCTTCTGAGTGATAAGGTTTATGCCACAGAATACGTTTCAAATAATTCATCACCTCAAAAAAAAAAAAAAGAATAAAGGCTTTAAAAAACACCTATAAAGAGCTATTTTTTTGTTTAAATAACATTTGCTTCATTCTTAGTTGTTATCTCAATTTACAATCAGCTATGGCAGCTGTTAGTAAGAGTAAAAAACCTCACACAATGCATCTGGATCTGATCCGTTGGGGCAAAGTGGCAGCTAAATATATTGCCTAATTGTCATATTTTCCGCAAAGGATCATAGGAAGAATTGCGCGTTACTGTAACAAAAAACAAAATGTGAGTACACCGATGTGAATCTTCATTAAAAACCTCAGAGCAAAATCAAAAAAGGCGTTTGTTCAGAATGCCAAAATAAGCGTTTTGGCCAAGTTTGGCTCAAATCGGTGACATCGACCACAGGTGGTGTACCAACTTGAGCTGGAATGACCCATATGCTGATAAACTATTATTCGCTGCCAACACTGGACTTCCTATATCACTTATCACGATGTATTTGTTAGAATATTATCTGCATTCGCGGAACCTTCACTAATTTTCCCGTTATGTTGACTCTTTTACTTGAGTAATGCATCGGTGGGTCTGGACCAAATTTTTAGATATTAGATTTCTAGATATTTTCCATATAAAAAGACTGCGAGAAAAGCCACTCATAGAAACAAATGCTTAAATTGATCCTAATGTTGTATTAAGAAGTGATGAAACATTTAATTAGCAGTCTTAACACAACAATAAAAGTCCACAACCATAAAAGTCAGGAATGCCGATTTTTTAGTTTAAATGATAGTCTAACAAAGACACCGTTCATTATATACACTGAGGCAAATAAACTTGAGAATTCCATAAGGTTCGACTTATAAACGACACATATGAATCTCATAAGCATGATTGATAAATGATTTTCATCTAACATGAGGTAGTTCTTATACGCTTTTGAACAATTTATTTTCCCAAGCGTTGAAAGACGACGGGCCTCGTCATCTCAACATCCATTTTCTCCTTTCTCAATTTTATTAGTTTTTGTCAAAAATATTTTTCAGAAGGCAAATTAATAAAATACATACTGATTTCTTGTGGCTAAAATTCATAAGTTATTTTTTTTATGGATTTCTTACGTTCCTTTGCCTCAGTGTAAGATTGTGGTTTTCGCATACACCATCTCTTCTTAGTCAGTTCAAAGTAAATAGTTAGTGATCCGATTCAAGTCCTCTCGAGGAAAAGCAAGCCCCATTAGGAACACTACCGATCCGCGCCGTGATGTTCCAAAAAAAATTCACGTACGAAAACCCATAGGTACGAAAACCCATAGGTACGAAAAGAATGAAAATCCAGACACCACACACACGGAACGGTGCCAAATGAGGCGACGGACAAACGGCCGGCGCCGCCTCCGTCGTCGCCAGTCGGCATCGCACACACCATTTCACACGTTTGTGCTTATGGCTTGGTCCAGTTTTACGATCTGACACAAATCATCTTCGCAATTCGCTACGGATGTGTCCTTGCGTTATGAGCCGATTGGCCGCCGTAGGCCCAGCAGGGTGCCTCCTTAAAATGCCAATCACCTTCCGGTGCGGGGGGTCCGGAGAAAACAATGCCCCAGAGAGAGCGACTCCGCCAGGGGCGTCGTTGTTAAATCGGAGGAAAGCAAGTTGTCACCTGTCAAATGCCTAGTAGGCGGTGATTTGTTTTGATCACAGCTCCGAAGAGGGGTCAGTGACTGTCAACAATGGATGATTTTGGCACTGTTTGCAAGAATTTTACGAATCGGCACTTACTGTCGGTTTCTGCATGTGGGTCGCGATGTTTGTGATGTTCATGCCCATGGCCGGTATCTGGGCACCGTAGAATTGTCCGGCTGCCGACGGACTCATGTCGGTCAACATGCTGAACGCCGTATGTTCGAGCCTCCGCGTGGGATCCGACGTTTTGGCTAGCGTTTTTCAAAACAGTTGCCTCTGTCGAAAAACTCCACACTCTTTCTCTTTTCTCAACCTTCAACGGCTATGACCACTGTTACTCTATTTTCCAAATGTCGATGGATTTCGTATTATTTTTTTTTTTCGATTGATCTGCTTCTTCACAAAACTTCCAGTGGTGCAGTAATTTCCTTCAGTAGAGCGTACAATTAAATCAAATGAGTCATCTTAAAACACTTTTTGTTAAGCGTTCAGTTTTTGCTGCCTCTCTTTGCTCCGTCTCTCTCTCTTTCTAGCTCTCGCTCTTGCTCATTCGCTATTCGCCTCCGCCAGCGCTTATTTGTTTAATTTGATATTTAGAAAACGATAGGCGAGCGGCAACTTCTAAAACATTTTCCTTTATTCAATTTTTCGTTTCTTTCTCCGTTTAAACTCTGGGAGCTATTAACTTCTTTTTGTGAGGACTGCCTTTTGAAGCTTCTTTTTTTTCAACCGCTAATTGCGCGTTATGAAAATAACAATGAGCAATTTTACATGTTCATCATACTCCTGACTTGCCTAGTTTTGGTGGAAGAGAATTTCTCTCCTTTTCACTGAACAATACCGACAATAGGGAAACTGTCACAAGCGCACTGCCATTCACTTACTTAACACTTTGCCTTCAATCACTGGAGGTGTTTCACACTGTTGTACCTTTCAAGCTAAGGGAGGTCACTTCACGTAATGTTACCGAACTTGGCGGTCATTTGAATTTCCCAGCAGAAATGTTTATCAATTAATCTTCCGGACTCTTCTTCTTCGTCGGTCACTTTCAAGATGGCGCTTCGGTCGCCCTGTGCTGAACCGGAAATGTCACACACGTACGTAACGCAGCGCGGCGGGTTGCAGAAATATATTTTCTCGGATCCGTCTCCTCCGGATGACAGATTAGAATTTATTATTTTCCTTTTTACCAAACAATCGAGCCAAACGACACAGGAGGGTTCACATACACAGTACGCGCAGCGCAGCGAACGAAAAAAACATCAACACACTACTCGCACTCGCACAGTTTGACGCGTCGGAACACTGTTTTCCGATACGGGAGACGACCAAGTGTACAGTAAAACCGAACACGGCAGGCCAGCAAAAAGGGGTACCAATGCTCAAAAACTAGCACCCAGCGGCAGACCAGCAGCAACGTTTTCCCATTGATAAATTAGAGTTTTGTACGTGTACGTTCACCATTCACAAGATTATTCTTTCAACTAACTTGAATAGTTTTTTGAATAATATGGAAAAACTTGTTTGATGATAAATTACTCATACACCAGCCGAAGCGAAACGAGTTCGAGCGCGACTGAAGGCACTAGAAAGAGAAAGAGCGAACCTGAGCAGCGCACGATCGCCTCACCGAGCGAGCGCACCCAAAGCATGCTGAGCGCGGCCACACACACACACCCTCTCATCGCAGCAGGCCCTGAGTGTGAGTGCGCTTGCCTGCTCGTGAAAACCGGTTCCGAACCCGACCCGATCGTTTGCTTGTGTGTTGCGCAGCAGCAGCACCCAAAGAAACCAGTTTTCCCGCAGCGATTGGTCACCAACACCACCGACTTTTGGGTGCGAATGGCAGGATGACTGGCTGGTATTGGTGCGGGCCAGACGGAGAGGGAACGCCTACTTTCTCCCACCCGTGATGCATCGACTAGTGGGGGCACGCACACAGCGAGAGGTGAGCGCGTGCTCTCAGCAGGCCTCACCCGGTGGGTACGGATCACGCCCTCTTTTCCAGCCAGAAAAAAAAGCCGCGGCGGCGGACAGCTGTGTGAGAGTGTGCGACAGAGCGCCTTTCAAAAGGGAGATGGGAGGTGACCCAACTCTTTTGTTTCTTTTTTTTCTCTTTTAAGATTCGGTATTTTTATTAGGCAATGCTGTGTATTTGCACAGAAAAAGGGTAAAATATGTACATTTCTTTGGAAACAGATCGGGAAAGTATTGTTCGAAGGAATTATTCTGTTGATGGAAATTGCAAGCCGGGAATTGGATCAGAATTGCCTGCATTCGGCGAAATGTTTGCTGATTTATTCCATTAACTACGTATTTTGTGGCATGTACATTTTGTGTTGGGAAAGAAATTGGTGTTTCTATACAACGTGGACTGTTGTTATGTGGTTTGGATCAGTTAAGAGTGCACTAGATCTATAAAGTTTTCTACTGCTTGAACTTTTAGCTTTAGGAAGGGTTGCTGGAGGAATTTGTGTGTTTTTGAATCGATGATAATTGAGAGAAAGGGCACGGGTTTTAATCTCTGAACAGGTCTTGGATTACTAGAAATAAAGTGTTAAGGAAGAGGTTGTTGTAATCCAGCGAAGGCCGACTACAATTTGAAAAATGGAGCAACTCAATTTTAGTAGGAAACGCAACTCGAGCATCTCGTAAAAAGTATGGAGACTTTCTGGAGATCAGTGCCGATAAAAATCAATTAGACCATGAATTTGAATTTTGACATAACAACATTCTTTTGATCAAGGCAACCTCTGAGTATTGAAGTTAATATTTGTTTTTGTCTATTTGTGGTTGGATCTTCGTTATCACCTGTGTTGTTTTCAATATTAGTATTCGTCTTCATCTTGGTAGGGATGATTTTGAGGATCAAATACAAAATGATTATTTTCATTTTACACATATATATCGCTATAGAACGTGTCGTGTTGGTTCTTACACACAGATCGATGGAAAATTATTGCCTAATGCTGAATTGATGATAATATCGACGTTTTGAGCCCTGGGTTCGACAATATTCAAAATAATAATTTTGCTCAATAGAATTTAATTATTTTGCTTTTGAGGATCGCTTCTGATTTTGCCAATTTCGGGTTCGATAATCAAGCACTGGTGAATATCAACAAACGCGGCAGCAAAGATTTCCAAATCAAACGCAATCCACCTACACTGGGTTGAAGCGCTACTTCTTGCGTTAGATGCTAAATGATAAAAACAGACACTTCTGGAGATAACTTCAAAAATTGGAATATTGTTCATTCAATCATGGGCCATTATTATTTCAGGAAATCGCTTGAAGACCATGCACTATTTTTTCACAAATGGTAGTGATCTTATCTACGTATAGTGAATAATTATTATTCGAAGTTATGACAATATGGAATTTTGAACACAGTTTATTTGGAAGGCTCAATCTCGTAAGCTTTACGGTGCCGATAATTCATTGTTCATAGTTTTTAACAAAATTCACTTAATTCTATGTCTCGTGGGAGTTGGGCCGAATACTCGCGTCTTACCCGAGGTTAGAGGGGTACATTGAAGAAGGATAGGAACAGGGGAGGAGCTTGGGGGTGAGGTTTCGTTGTCTCATCGGAGCGTTGTCGCCAGTATGAACGGTAGTGCGGTTCTAGGTTCGTCCGGATGATCAGTAATTTATAGCTTACTACCTTCATTTGTTAGTACATAATAATGAATACAGTCAGAATCTTAGAGAAATCATGATCAGTTCCTAAATTTTCAACATTAAAACAACATTATTTGTAAATTACGTACTCATCCAGGCCTCCACTATGGGAGATCCAGCTGGTCAATAAGAAAAAGACAGACTTTCTCCGATTCATAATTAGTGTTTGTCCATCGGTATGAAAGCCAAGAAAATCGGTTCTCTAAACCATATGCGAGATACAGGTAATAGAGTCGGAGAGTTGCTGATTTTTGTGAAATTCAATAATACATTCAATATCACTATTCCCTAAATTTAATGGATCTTTCCCTGTTTTTGGAGTTGTTCCTGAAATCTTTTATTGTTAGCTTCTAAATGACGCATAGAGTAATTTAATCGATCTTTAAAGGTATAAACAGTTGATCAAAAACAAATATTGCAATCGGGACATCCTTTTACGATAATCCTTAGGATGGCTAGAAAGGATTGAAATCAAATTTGGCTGCGCTTACTTGCCCAACTGAACTTTTGGTAACATGGAAGACATGGAATTATGGGTAGTTTTTATAGGTAAACAATCGAACATCCGACTCTTTTGAATTCGTCCGAACATTTTTGCCTGGAATCTTTGAAATACCAACATTTTAGCTGTTGGTTGGCCATTTTTATGCTCAGAAAGACCAAACCGGGTTTATTCGACCAAAATGACTATTTCCACCGTATCGCTTAAAAAACACCAACAATATCTTTCATTTCACCATGTTAACAAAACAACAATACATTTGTCTCATATCTTCAGTGCCAAGCGCTAATGCCAAATCATTGTGTTTCGAATATTTAAGCCCTTGTTTTGACGTAGGACTACGTCTTTGATTTCTATATGGGGGTACACTTTGTGAAAACCAAAAATGGAACATGTAACAAATTAAGAAAGATTTTGAACGTTAATAACTCAGCTGCCCCTGGTCTAATTTCAATAATTTTATAACAAATCGATCAGAAATATGGCTACGCATTGATAACAATGCTTTAGAATGTTGATTTTCAACAAGAAACTATTGAAAAACTGGTAAATGTCCAGCATTGTCCAAAAGCTTCGAATTAACTAACAAATCCACCAATTACCTACATGCATATGCTGCTTCCCCAGCACAGTCGTCAGAGAGTAGTAAGTAGACGAAACAAGTCAAAGTGGCATTCGCCTCCGATCCTCGGGCGCGTGCGAATAGGGCGGATGGAGTTGCGTAATATTTTGCACACTCATCGCCATATTCAGAACCAAACGCAAATTCTTCAAGATAACCACCATCCGTTGTCTGGCTCGCCGTGGCGGTGTCTGACGTATCTCCGGTCTGATTTACGAGGTGTGCTGAAGGTGTTCCTGAAAAATGAGATCCGTGATGCTGTCACCTACATTAAACACGCCAAGCGTAAGCGGCCATGGATGTCATCTACGTTTTGAAGTGACAGAGACGCACTCTGTTTGGTTTCGGAGGTTAAATCATCACAAACTTTGGCAACAAAACGGCTCTTTTCAGGGCCACCAAGCTTATTACAGTAAAGAGTAGGAATAGACTTCATCTGCCTGTTTGTCCATATTCAGAACCAACGACCAAACAAAATGCTCATGTAATCAAACTGGAAGCAGGGATACAAATTATTTTGATCAACCTTGATCAACTTTGAATCGCCACGGCCGGATATTTTCGATAGAAGAAGCAACAATCTAGCATCTAATTTGACGAAGACGGCAGGAAACATTTGTGAAGCCGAATTATTTACGAAAGAGAGTGTCGATGAACAGAATCGATCAATGTAGATAGGACATATTGAAAAGTGACGTGAGATTTGTTTTCCGTACTGAGCTCCAATGATACCGAATGCTACCAAATGGGAGTCAGCTCCCACACTTGGACCCTACCAATCGACCCATCAACTCAACCGGGGACCAACGGCTTTACTTCCCGAAGGAAGGCGTGATCAGAGATGTTATGCCTTAGAACATGCCGGTGGCGCCGACTGAGATTGGACCCAGGCCTGCTGGGGTGAGAGGTAATTACGCTAACCACCGGCGCCGATATCTATCACGGCGAATGAGAACGACCCAAATTTGAGTTTAGTTATCTCAGAAATACAAAATAAATGCAGGAACTCAGCGATGAGTAAATCTGCCTCATATTTTCCCAGGATTTTCCAGGGAAAAAATCCCGAATTTGAGAAAAGTAAAGATTGAATTCACTCAGTCAATTCGTACTTCTCCGAGACTGAATTTAAATTTTCGTCAATTTCCTCATTTTCTGGCAGACTTTAGGTTTTCCACAGGAAACCATGAGACAAATTTACTCATCGCTGAGTTCTTACACTTTTGGCGATTATGAGTGAACTTAACTCAAATTTGGGTCGTTCTCATTCGCCGTGTACGCAAAAAGAAAAGAGCCAGTTGCCATGGATGTCCTCTTCAATAAAACGGCCCTTTTCAGGGCCATCAAGCTTACATCAGTAAAGAGTTGGAATAGAATTTATCTGTGCTTGTTTGTCCATATTCAGAACCACAAGCCCCCAACAACCACACAAACTTGGAAGCAGGGGTGCAAGTTATTTTGATTCTCTTAATCAACTTTCTCTTTGAAAAAGATTACTACAAATTTGGTACACCTACAATTCAAAAGATAGATAATAGATAATTGATCAATTAAAAGAACTAAATGCTCATCACATTTATTCCGTCCACTAGCGGTCCTACGTCAAGCTTCCGTTCATGCCCCTAGGCACAGACCCTTCTACTTTTTTTTTCAAACACAAACCTATTTTTCGTACTTGTGAAACTGCTTGACTCTATAATAGTTTGCAAAGTATTAAATATGTAAAAGCTTAATATCTAA